TCAGACTTCATTTTCTTATTTCAGATGATCTGTAAGACTGTGATTTTATTTTCAGATTATCAGTAAGACAAATGATTTTACTTGAGATAAATTTTCAGATCGCATACTATTCTTCATCTGAGAATCCAGATAACGAGTACGATTCCGTCTGAAACCGACATTTGTGCCCACTTGTCCATAGGGCCACTAGTTAGGGTATCTGCCAGCATCTATACATGCATGCGTAATGAATGCTTCTGTCCCGTAGCATCCGCGCTGGAGGAAACAGCACCGCTGGCAGCAGTTAACCATGTCAGATGCTGCCAGCACTTTGTCGCTGCGTGGGTGTCGGCGCCGATGCCAGCTACACCCAGGCACCGGCACTATCCTTTTGTGCGATGGGGTGACCTGTATGCATCGCGGATGCACGTAACTGTGGTTCCCCGCCCACACTCGCACCGCGTATCACTCTGCCGAGCTACGGGACGAGGGTTTGAGGGACCAGGCTGGGGGCACACCGTCCATCTTCTACATCCTTTCTTCCGCTGCACTTGACTGGCCCCGCAGTGCAGTTTTCCACTTTCGCCATACCCCCTGATGGCCATTCCAGAGGAGTTACACCCCCCTAGAGTCTCAGCGCTAGATTTTCTCACACGGGGCAAGTCGATCCCCGTCGTTGCACCCCACGTTGCCTCGTGCTCAACCCAAGTTATACCCCCAACCAACGCATCGCCAGACACTGTGGCCGAAGAAAAGGCGGACGATGGCATGCCCAAGGCTACCACGCCCACGTCGACAAGCTCGCCTACATCCGGCCGTGAATCCATCCGCCCTGTTGTTTCTGTTATAACAACCACCGATCTTCGGGCTAACCCTGTGCTGCCTGACAGGGCTTCACTGAAAGCTAAATACAAGCAGAGGATGCTTAACTTTGCCCGTCCCGCAGGTCCTACCTTGCCCGCGCCATCGGAGACGGTCCCGCCCACGACTCGTCAATCCGCCGATGACGATTCGGAAGAAGAGGACAAGGGCAAAACCAAGGGACGTCGGCCGCTCTCTGTGGAAGAGCTGCAGCTCAAGTGTAAGGAGCAGTGGCTTCGCTATTTCCCGTGGCTCTTCATCAGTGAGACGAAGGACGGGCGACCGTGCATGCGCTGCAGCGTCTGTATGGTGTTCGGGGACCCGCACTACAAGTACGGCCGCTACGGTGAAGGCGGCCTCGACATTCAGAAGCAGACGATGCGCAAGCATCATTTCAGCGTGAAGCACGAGGCCGCGGTGCTGCAGAAGGAACAACGTGATGGCCTTAAGAAAGGCCAGAAGTCCATGACAACCTTCGACAAGGGTGACGACGACGCCAGGCGAATTGCTCGATTAATGGCAATCGCTCTCTTCATCTGCAAATCTGACGCCCCTATTGTGCTTTTCGTTGCTCTTGTTCAATTCATGGCTGAGCAGGGCACGCCGGACATGCCCGTGAAGGAAAACGGCACGTACTACAGCGAGTGAGTAAAATTTCTGTATCCCGCTTATGTCTGTGTGTCTGCTCCACCATGCTCACGCCCCTATTGTTTTTGTGTTACAGGTACGGTTTTGCACAGCTAGTGGCGACGATGGTGTCATACCTGCGGTCCCGTCAGCTGCAGTACATCCGAGCCAGCCCCTTTCTCGGGATCCAGCTGGATGAGAGCACGGACCATAGGCGCGGGAAGCATATGATAGTATACATGACCTTCGTGCGCGACAACCTTCCAGTCACGGAGTTCTACACCCTGCTCTCAGTGGAGCAGTGTGACGCCGCCTCGCTGCTAACTGGCCTGCTAACGCATTTTGAGACGGCGGGCATCGATCTGCAGCGCATTAGCGGTATGAGCACAGACGGCGCTTCTGTGATGACTGGCCAGCACAACGGGTTGGTCGCGCGGCTGCGCACGAAGATTCCTCATCTCGTTTCGTGCCACTGTGTTGCTCACAGGCGAGTTATACCAAGTTGTATGTTGATTTGCCTATCTTGCGTGTACTAAAATGTTTCGGTTGATTCATGCAGGGAGGCGCTCGCAGCAAAAGATGCAGCAACCGCGTTCCCTGACCTCCAGATTGTGGACAAGGCGGTCCGGTCTGTGGTCGACATTCTCGGGCGCCTTGTGGTCCATACGCGTTTCAAGGAGCTGCAAGAGGTCATTTGCGAGACACATTTGGAGATGCAGGGCATCAAGGACGTGAGGTGGCTTTCCCGAGGCAATGCGATCCAGCGACTCGTCGCGGTGTTTCCTGCGGTTGTGATCGTCTTGCAGGAATTCGACAAAAAGATGTACGCGACAGTGACTAGTTTCAAATTCCATTTCTTACTCTACTTGCTTGCCGATGTGTTGAAGGAGCTGAACCTGCTCAACTTGAAGTTCCAGCAACGACAGGTACGCGTTAATGTTTACGCTTGCAACCGCCTTCGTAAACCATAGTCACAATCTAACCATTTCTGCTTCATGCTTTTGCAGATTGACGCCACCCATGTGCTGCAGACGGTACACAACACAACACTCCTGCTGCGGACTCGTTACCTCGACAGCAACGACGAGACGTTCGGGCAAAGCGGCGCTGCGCTGGGTCCATTCTTGGCGAAACATGCCTCGGGGAAGTGTCGGGAGGTCAAGGTTGATGGCCTAGATTCCACCGGAGTGCCAACAACTCACCGCTACCTGCTGCACGAAGAGGCTATCGTGGGGCAGCAGAGCAAAGGCGACCTCAACTCCTGTTTGAAGCTCGGGCGGGACTTCGTTGTTGAGCTGATTAAGCAGCTCGACTACCGACTGCATGATCTCGCGTCGCTCAATGGCGCGAAGCTCTTCAAGAAGTCCCAATACCCCAAGTCACAGGCTAAGCGCGAGCGACGGTTGGCGCAGTGGTTGCAGTCGCTGCGCGACATGTACAAGAAGCATCCCGAGGATCCGGACACTCTGCCAGGTGTGTTAGGCGTATTGTCGTGAGATCTCGGGCTTAATCGTTTTGAAGCCGCGTCGCGTTACATTTGTATTCATGCGGCCGCATCTTTGTCTTCCTCTATTCACCCGCCCATTCGTACAGGTGTGGACTGGGCCAAAGCACAGAGGGAGCTCAACACCTTCGCGACAATCATGAGCACCCACCAGGAGGATGTCGGCTTCGCGGAGGGCCTGAAGCACATGCTCTCCTCACCAGATTGGACAACGAGCTACCCCAACATTGTCCGCCTGTGGATCGCTGTAGCCGTGCTCCCGCTGAGCACTGTGGAGTGCGAGCGCGGGTTCTCGCGGCAAAACGTGATCAAGAGCTGGCTGAGGGGGAACCTGTGCGACGCCAAGCTTGGTGAGCTCATGACCGTGTCTCTTCTGAGCTACAACATGGAGTGGCCCGAGTTGGTGGCTCGGTGGCGCAAATCCAAGAAGTGGAGGCCTGCAAAGGATGTGTTGCTGGCGGGAGTGGAGAGGGAGAGCAAGCGCAATAGAAGAATATCCGCAGCAGCAGCAGAGGCCCACGCAGCAGCAGCAGCAGCTGCTGTGGCTGCGGCAGAGGCAGCAGCACGCGAAGCGGCAGCAGTAGCAGAAGCAGCCAGGCTGGATGCAGAGTTCCCCTGGCTCAGTCGCAAGGGGAATGCTAACTATCCTATTCCAGTGCCGTCTGATAGCCTAGAGAGCTGTAGTGATGCTGATGATAGTGGTAGCGAGTCTGACTGATACGTAGAATGGTGAAATGATACTTAGTTTTCACATTGTATGTTGTAGAATTGATGTAGTCAGTGTAGACCACGTAGAATTGTTCATCTGTCTAATCAGACTTGTGATATTGTTTCGTCCTAGAGGTCAGACGAAAAAAAAGCGCCAATCTGAGCGTAAGACGATTTTTTTTTTTTTACCCATCCTGTCAGACAGGCCTGAATCCTAGCGAGAGCCCTGTTGTGTACCCCTTAAAGGCTAACCCACTATAGCCTACACAACAATAACATATAGATAATGTTTGACAACCGGCTCTATACCATGTGAGAATAATGAGAGGAATGATTGAACTAGAAAGCAGGTGGGTACATATGGGAAACCTAAAAGTGTTGTACCCTGTAAGAACTACCCCACTACAGCCTAAACAGACTAAAGAGTATAAGTTTGACATCCTGAAGAGACAGGGTAAAATATACCATCATCCTGAAATTGCAGGGAAAACACCTAACACTATCATGAAATCAGGGTAATCAGGATGTTTTAACCTGATATCGTGGGGCCTGGTTTATGCTATTAGCCTAGTAGCTTATACATCACCCCCATCTCCTTTGTGTTGGTGTTTTGTGTCACTCCTTGTTTTGCTCTCCATCAGTAACGCATGGTTTTCTGAGCGGTACAGTACCGTATATCATCACTCGGGTCAATTGATACCTCCCCTACCCAGTGGCTACCCTCCCCTCCCACCTTAGCATCTTCTCCTGCTGCTGACCTTATTTCGCTACACCACTACAGTGCCAGACCTATAACACACATTATACAATAACTAAACCCTGGACATTCAGAACTAGTGTCTCAACATGGCGCCTGTCATATAATAAAACACCAACGGACCCTGAGTTCCTATCTGCCAATCAACTACTCTTAGACCTGTCAATGTCACCCAGCGTTTGCTCTAAAATTGGCAAAACTACCACCAGCTTTTCCCCCATAACCCTAGGACACTAGCACCAGCTTTTTCCCCATAACCCTAGGACACTACCACCAGCTTTCCCCCATAAACCTAGGACACTACCACCAGCGGACTCTGGCACTGGAGCCTTGCATTATATTTCGAGACCACATTGTCATCCTGAGAATTTCAGCCTCTCATATAACTTAGCCACTACCGCTATCAGCGAACCCCGGGACTGGCGCCTGGAGTTAATAATAGTCCCAGTGTCACTTAGCGTCTGTGCAATATCTTGCAGGACACCGCTTCTCTCCTTCAATTCCGAGCCACTGATGCTACCAGACCCATCCGCTCCTCTGTGTCAGTGACTTTGCGCCAAACAGCTACCTTGGCCTCCCATCGTCACCCAACGTCTGGGCGATATCTTGCGGGATTCCGCTTCTTTCCCCTACCCCTGGATCTCTAACACTACCAGCCCCATCCGCTCCTCCTTGCTTAGCCGCTTTCTTCTCCTCCATGAACGCCTTGCGCTCTTCTCGCTCCTTCTCGCAGAGGCTGATGCCCTGAATGATGTCCACCATGGCGCCTGTGGTACCATCATGCAGAACAATGTCAGCAACCGACTTACTTGCTCAAAACAGCTACCTAGACCTCCCATCGTCACCCAACGTCTGTGCAATATCTTGTGGGATTCCGCTTCTCTCCCCTACCCCTGGGACATTGACGCTACCAGCACCATCCGCTCCTCCTTGTTTGCCCGCTTTCTTCTCCTCCATGAATGCTTTGAGCGCTTCTCGCTCCTTCTCGCAAAGGCTGATGCCCTGAATGATGTCCACCATGGCGCCTGTGGTACCGTAGAACACCAGCGGACCCAGGGACTTGCGCTTGATACCTATAGGGATGGAGATTAAACACCCCCCGAGGGTGAAAATCCAGGAGCTGGGGACGGGAGAGACGCGAGAGGGAAGGGAAGAGGATTGGAGATGTGAGGACTGAATCTAGAATGAAAAAGTTTTCGAAGTTCGCGATTGGATCTGTACGTTACCAAAGGAAAGTTATGGATTTGGAAAAACGGATAGATGGAGAACCAGGATTATGACTAGAATAACCGAACGCGAGATCAGAACTTGGACAGAAAAGGCAAAGGCTAGTTCTCTCAATGAAATATGCTGTCCATCGCCTATACATCGTCGGTCCTTGAAACGTCGTCGCGGTGCGACAACCTTACCTACTCAAAGCGCACTCTCCAAGAGCGCGCTGCAGCTCCCTCTCCCTTTCTGCAGCGGTCGCCATGGCTAATGCAAGCCGATCATCCCAGGTGAAAATTGCGATTAGATCATTTGCCAAAACGGATATAGATCATTCAACGATAAAATCTTAGGCTGGAGCCCGCGTCGGTTTATGGTATGTCACAGCTCGTCCAGATGCCCCAGGACTTGAATTCGCATCTGAAACAGATAATGCGATAAAGAAAGAGCTGCTTATAGGTTTGCAGCATATATTTGTGTACAAACTCATAGATTCCGTCTGGAAAATCTCATATAGAATTGCTTGCCAGAGTCGTCGCACATAGCCCCTCCTCAACCTGCCTCCACCGACATCGCAAAAACATCGCTGAGACAAACAACGCCGTTGACCGACAAGTCACAAGAGCGAGCCAGCTCATCCTCGACGAATGATTGGCGGAGCTGATGCTTTTGCGACTTTCGTTTTTAGATATTCTGTAGTCTGACCAGCTGATTGGCTGGTTGTTTTGCCTTGCTGTTGGTTCCATTTCTGGTGTTGTTCTGCTAGTTACGGGATTCTCTAGGAATTCTCTAGAACGCTGGAGTGCGGGTCCATTGTTTTTCAGTCCTTCTCTTCACCACACACTTCTCTCTTCAGCTGAAGTTCTTCACTCATTTCTCGCCGCACCTCATCAATCATTCGACTCTCTATCTATGAGGAATACTGGTCTCACGTGAAACACGTTATCTGCTCGATATTTGTTCTAACGTACTAGCATTTTCGAGCAGCTGAATTGCCGCGAGGTGTCGCTTTTCCAACTTAGCAGAATCCGTCTCTACATCGAGCACATATCCGTACGTGCCCGCATGTAACACCGACGCTGTCGGATTTTGTCGTACGTCGAACGCATATCCGTCGAGAGTGTCGGTCTTCGGCTGCGAAGTCCAGATTTCTACTCACGAAGCTTAAACACAGCTCTCATAGTTCCGTGAATATGGCGTTCGAATTGCCATTGGTCTCTTCAGATGTTAAAGCGAACCCGCTCTTGTCGTCTACAGCAGGAGATTCTGTGTCCACTGAAGATGGAACTGCATATATCCTTTGTCTGGATGAAGCATTGCTCCATCGTATATGTAGAGTTCTGTCTTTGATGGATCTGATGTCTGTCCAGTGCACCTGCAAGGATCTCAATAACTTTGTCGTTCATGACCGCCATTTGTGGAAGAGGATTACCATCCCAAGGTCCCTCTCAGAAAATCTGACAGACACCCGTCTCATGGTGTTGATAAAAAGAGCTCAAACAGAGCTTGAAGTTGTCGAGATCCATGGATCAAAACGGTTGACTGGAGCTTTTCTTCTTGCGGACGGCATGAAGGAAAACAAGAAACTGGAGAAGGTGAGCACCAATGCCACTATTGTTTAGACTGTCTCGTTTGTGGTATTGTTCTAATTGCATTGCTCTCTTTTTGCAGCTTTGGCTTCTGGAGTGTCCTCAACTGTCAGGAGGAGCCTTGGTGTCACTGGTCGGTCATTTGGCAAAAGCATGCCACGAAGCAGGATCGGACCCTGTTTTAAAATCCATGCGATTGTCTGGTTCGACTAACGTCGAAGGCCGCCATGTTCGTTTGCTGGAGAAATTCAGGCTCGCTGACACACTGGATGTTGTTCCGTGTCCACACTGTCCCAAGGCTGGTCATGTCATGATGTGTGGTGTGTACTCCATGCTTAATGGCGAGGGGGCTCCAGCAGACGTTCTTGGACATGCCATTGTCAGAGATGGGGAGATTGGTTGTGAAAACTGCTTAGTCCAGTGCTCCATTTGCCCCGAGTACTTCTGCAGAGCCCACCTTTTCCGGCTTAATGTAAGTGCAACTGCCCCTCACTCTAGTACACAAGCTCTTTAAAGTCGACCTGTACTCATCCTTCCACTCTGGTTTCTGTTCTTGCAGTGCGGCCTTCAAGGAATTTGTTGCAAATGTTGCACTCAGCATTCTTGCAGCGTCTGTGACGCCTGAGTGCTGTACCATCACTGAAATTATTGGTTGCAACATCATACAACAGCAAGCAACAGTCCTCTAGGAACAACCTGTTTTTACCATTTATTCAAAATAACCAGTAGTTGTCACAGCTCAGCAACTGAGAATACTTTACATGACACTATTACAAACTAAAGCAGACACTAGAAATGCGTCTGCAAGATGGTAACTTAGTTGCCAGAGAGACTCTGAGCCCCTAAGAAACCAGGACAACTCATGATAGGACTACTGGCTACTCCTAGCATACCCTAGCGTATCCTACTGTACCCTTGTGTCTAACAGCTACTTGTAGATCAGCCAAACCACAATTACAGGACTTTCGGTCAGTTCCAGCAGCTGCACAACAAGGTTGTTCCCCTGCATGCAGCTAGAGCAGAAATTGCTGGCTATAGTTGATCCTCAGCGACGGGTCTTAGAAGATCTGAATTCAGGGTCACTGAATGGTGAAGGGGCGCCTGCAAAGAGACTATGCGACCCCGTATCTTCTCGGAGGGTACCATTGATTATAGCCAACTCCCTCAGTTGTGCCCGTTTGAGGATGTCACAAGATTCATCCTGTACCACCATAACAAGGCATTAGTCCCGGGACACGTTTGCGAAGCAACACCGCAGACAGGAATGGGTTCACAACACTTACTACTGGTTTCAGAAGCTCCTCAAGAATTTCACATGCCTGTGAAAGCTGAGAATCTACAATGTTTGCTGGAAGCTCAGCCTCCACAATAACATGTAGTGGCTCGTTCAGGTGCTCGTAACCTGGCTTGTTTCGCATCTTTTCTTCCTGCGAGACCGAGCATACCACATGAGGACCTCGCCTGGAAAAGGGAAGCTGAAAACAAGGAACCTGGAAATAGATCGTCTACCTTAGTAGGGTCTTTGATGGAACCTCTGCCTCGGATAAGGACGCGGCAACCCGTTTGAGCCTCAACTCGCTTTAGCGAATTGCCTCGGGGCCCAAGAATTCGCCCAACAAAATTGAAGGTGGGATACTGATCCACTGGAACGTCAATCCTGCGAGCCTTTTTTAGAATTGGGGCAGCGCCGGGTTGAGGGGTCCAGCCTACCAATGTCGTTGTTGTTGGTTGGTGAGTTGTTGGCGTTGCGAAAAGCGTCGAAGGCTGCAGAAACAGGGATCGCGAGAACAAGCGTATCGCTTGAGCTGAATTCAAAGCAATAATGACTCGCAAGCAAGAAACAAGTTCAAGGGGAAAATCGTACCCCGACTTCGTTCGGCATCGGAGACCATGTCTGTGCGTCAAACGGAGAAGGTCCAGGAGAGAAAATGGGATGGGATATGGGCGATGACGTATCGGCGTGTTCATGGTCCATGTAAGTCGGAGAACCCACTATCGACGATAAACGCGCAATTTCTGAAAAAGGGACAATGATTAAGGTTAGCAGAGAACGTAACAAGTTATACAACGGCAGTGTACATCAATATTCTCCTAACCTTGGTCAAGCAACCGACCGCAATGCGGTAGAACTTGTCTGAAGGGAAGCAGCTTTTTCCGCTCAGCCAACAGGTCCGCGAGGTATCTGAACGAGCGAAAACAAGAGCCAGCACTTGATCAATACCGCAGTAGAGGGTATCATAAGCTCATAACAGTCAGAAAAAAACGATTCCAAAGAAACGAACAAGCTAGTTAGCTGCTTACTGATGATCGCCATCACTGCTTGAAGGAGATGGGGTGTTTCTGAAGAGTTGGGGAGATGCTGGAGCAGAGGAATAGCCAGCGAGAAACCTTCCATTCATGGTTCAGATTCTCGGAATTCGATCTCAAGCTAAGAAGCTAATCGTCGATCGAGATGGGGCCCAGAAGGGGTTGCAGCAGATTAGGTATCCAGAACTATGGCATGGCTGATTAGCGTAAGGTTGGTCCATGAATACATGGTACGGTGGACAGCAAAACATAAGTTTCATACCATTCTTGTAAGCGCTTGTTCCATTCCATCCCTGCTATCCCAACTGACATGGGGGGAGTGCATGGCGGAAAGTTTGATGGTGCAGCATCCACTACAGTACATACCACGGGGACCGATGGGTGCGGCGGGCTGCCCAGCATGGCAAAAGCATGCTTTTAGTGGATGGGGGATGGATCACGGCATGGCATGCCTGTTTCTGCGCAGTTCTTCTGCATACATACAACTGGATGCCCTTGATTATTTTGGCGAAGGTCGAGTCACAGAACAACTGAGCCCCTGGTGCACTGGGGCGTGCCGAGGCATTCTGCATCTGTTCGGTTCTAAACTTTTATGACACGCACTCTGTTTGCTGGCCAGAAAAAAAAAACCGCACAAGCTCAAAGCTTGCGGTACAATTAGGAATCCGGGTCACAGTTGTGACCAGCTTCTCGAATATCGAGTCTACAGAGACCAAATGTACAAAGCACCCTCACGCACATCATGCCTGGAACAACCATTTATGAACGGTCAGCAGCTGTTGTCCCGTGACATGGCGGGGGTGGGGTTCTCGACACTGATGCAATGCAGGGCAGCTGTGCTTCAATCGAGTGACAACCGTCATTGGGCTGTTACACAGCCAGTATTTCCCCCCTATCTACATGTTAGGGCCCTCAAACCAATACAATATACTCCTTATCTAGATTTACTCTTTCTACTCAAATGTCAGATACTGAACCAATTCCTTTCATCCAAGATTTATGGTGTCAGCTGTGGATTTTTTTCAGCAAAAAATAACCTATTGTATAAACTCGAATTGTACAATGATATATTTTAATACATAAAATCACGCAACAACTTCATAGTACGTAAAATTGCATAATTACAACACAGTGGCATCTCGTTGCGCCAACAATGCAATTATGTTCTAACTCCATTGTTGGGCTGAGAAAAAGCCCTTAGGATCTTTCAAGGCTAAGATCTAGCTGAGGTAGGAATGTTGTAGTTTGCGGAAGCGATTAATAAAGATGTACTTGAACCACATTGCACTAGTATGTGAGAACAAGATAAGTTGATAATAGAAGAGAGATACGCGGCTTTTATATGATTACAAAGGAATACGAAAGGTTCTTGTTTCTGCTGTTGCGGTTCGATACAGTGACGACTCGGGTAACTGCTCAGTATCGAGTCAGTTATGTGTCCTTGCTGTCGCACTGTATTTTTCGTCGAGTCAAAGGTCCGCGACCTTTGACCTTCGCGTAACCTCCAGCGGTTGCTTTTGTTGACTCGTGTTGCTTCACTGTTGTCTGCTTTGTTTCGTGTCGATACTTCGATACTTCAGAAGCGTTAAGTTACTTGTCTCCAACACTCCCCTTCGCTTCTGGAGTGTCGTTGCTGATGACGTGTCCTTGTCCAGTCAGCAGCATGCAGTACTCGAACTTCTGTTTTCCGAGTTTCTTGGTCAAGTAATCGACTGCCATCTCGGATGTGGGACAGTAGGATAGTTCGAGTCTTCCCTTCTCGATTTCGTCTTTTACGAAGAAGTACCGGAGGGCGATGTGCTTCGTTCGATTTGCGAACCCATTTTTGTTCGCTATGCGAATGGCCGATTGGTTGTCGCAGAAGAGGGAGAAGCTGGGTAACTGAGCCAATTTTGCTTCCTCCAGCAATTCGCGAAGATATAGTCATTCCTTGGTGGCTGAGCAGAGTGCGATATATTTTGCTTCAGCCGAGGAGAGAGCGATTAGCTCTTGCTTGTTCGACTGCCATGAGATAGGCCCGATAGGTTCGAGTCGGTAGATATAGCCAGTTCGAGATCGTCTGTTGTCGGAGTCTCCAGCGTGATCGGCGTCGACGTAGCCGATTAACTTAGGTGTCGTAGTTCCGGTTTTGTGGTAGGTTAGTCCGATCGTCGGGGTGCTGACGAGGTAATGAAGTGCACGGTCGAGCTCCATCATGTGCTCTGCTTCAGGCTTCTTGAGGTAGGTAGCGAGTTGACTAGCTGAGTAAGATAGATCCGGTCGGCAGGTAACGCCTGCGAAGAGTAGACAGCCTAGCTTTCATTGGTAGTCGCGAATGCCGGCGGGTTTGAGTAGGGCGGAGACTTTGCGATTTTCGTCGGTGTAGCGGTATGGCGTGGGGATGGCAGTTGGAGTAAGTCCGAATCGTTTAGCGATGGTGTCCGTCTATTTCTCGGCGCTAAGGTAGATTGCGTTGTCGCCGTCTTGTATGTTGAGTCCCAGGTACTGTGTCACGGTAGTCGCGACGGTGAGTGTGAGATCTCGCTGCAGCTCCCCTTCAAACCAGGTTGTTATGTCGTCGGTGGAGCCTATGTAGAGGAGGTCGTCCACGTAGACGATGAGTAGAATGTAGTCAGTCCCCATAATGAGTCGGTACATCCCTTGGTCGTGTGGTAGTTGGAGGAATCCGATGCGGATTAGGCGGGCGTGAAGATGCTGCTGCCACAGTCTCGGGGCTTGTTTGATGCCGAACAACGACTTTTCCAGCTGACAGACTTGGTTGGGGTCTGTGTTAGACCCGTGCGGGAGTTCAACGAAGATCTCAGCATCGACAGGGGCGTAGAGGAAGGCGTTGGCGACATCGATTTGTCGAAGTTTCTTCCGGTTCATGGCAGCTGTTGCGAGGAGAATCCGCAGTGAGGTATGTCGGCTAACTGGTGCAAATGTTTCCGTGAAGTCTCGTCCTTGCTCTTCGTCGATGCCACGCACGACCCAGCGTGCCTTGAATTTGTTGATTGTTCCGTCGGCTTTTGTTTTCACGCGGAAAACCCATTTTCCCGTGAGAATGGTCTTGTTGCGTGCCACTTCAATAGGCACGACTTTCCAGGTGTTGCGTTCTTGCAGCGCCTTTAACTTTCTGTCCATGGCTTCACGCCATTTTTCCCTGTGTTCCACCCCCAGAGCCTGCTGAATGTTGGCAGGCTCCTTAGGCGTTGCTGCTCCGTGGACTGCGGTGACGAGTCCTAGTATCTGCAGTCCACTCTGTGTGTAGCGGGGGAGATTTGCGTCCTCGGGATAAGCTGCTTCATCTCCTGCTTCTGGATCCGGTAGGAAATTGGGTCCTATGCGTTCGGAGACGTTGGTGTCGACCGGTTGGGGTGTAACGTAACCGGTGTCGGCGAAGTCGAAGTAGGTTTCGGCGTTGACACTTTCGCGAGGGTTGTCGTCATCCATGGGGATGTCCACAAAGCAATACGGAAGAGGTCCGGCTTCCTCCGAAGCTCCGTCCACGTTCTGCTCGTCCCAGTCAGCTTTCTCTGCTGCTGAAGTGAAGGCGCGGTTGCCACGGAAGCCGCCCGTGATGTCGCGATTTGCTGCCAGATTGTCCAGGTACGTTTGAAGTGTGAGTCGCTCGTAGAAAATGACATCATGTGCTGCTACTGTTTCCTTCGAGTGGACGTCGAAAATCTTTCATGCGTTGTAATGCTTTTCGATGCCCAGGTGTAGCCCCCACTGTGCGCGTTGAGAAAATCTTCCGGCTCTCGCAGTGTGCGGTCGGTACTGTATCATGCACAAAAAAAACTCGTAACATTTTTGTGTTTCCCAATTTTCCTGTCCACAGCAGGTGCGGTGATGCGTTGTTCGGGAGCGATGACGAGAGCAAGTTGTGCAGCATGACAGCGTGGTCCATTGCCTCAGGCCACTGGTGGTTGGGCAGTCGCATGCCACGCAACAGTTTGCGCATGGTGTTATGGAGGGTTCTGTTCATCCGTTCTACCACGCCTTGCTGTTGATGGGCGTAGGGAAGCGAGATGAGTCGCTTGATGCCTCGTTCTGCGAGGTACTGCTTGAATCTTTATGAGTGATATTCTCCTCCCCCGTCTGACTGGAAGCTTTTCAGCTTTGCTCCTGATTCTCGTTCTGCCACAGGTAGCCAGGCGACGAAGGCTTCGAAGGCCATGTCGCGACTTGGGAGGTTGAGGTGCCAGACGTATCGGGTGGCGGCGTCGATGAAAGTAATCATATAGTTGTATGCTCCCTGTCCTTGTTCGCGAGTATACAGGGTGTCGCTGTATACTTTCTCGAGTGGTGCGTAGGCTGGCACACTTGGATTGTGGTGAGAGATAAATGGTTGATGAGGTAAGTCGGCTTCGGGGCAAGTAAGACAGGTTCCTCGGACTCGTTGAAGTTCTCTGCCGTCGGGTAGAAGTAAAGAATCTTTGTCGATTACTGTTGCCTTGATCGTGTTATTTAACGTGGTGTTGCTTGGATGACCCAGTCTTTCGTGCCACAGTGATTCGCTCGCACGATGTCCGAGTGAGCGCCTGTACTGGTCGGAGTTGGAGTAAAAACCTGCGGTGAGGTTGGCACTTCTGTGAACTTCACGTGGAGTGGGGGTTAACTGCTGCGCAGGAGTCGGTGGAGTGTCGTCGATGAGAGCTGGTGCTGACGAAGAGCCCGCGGTTGGTGCCGTAGGTGTTGTTGCTACTGCCGATGTTGTTTCCGTTGCTGTCGATGTTGTCTCTGCTGCTGTTGATGTTGTTTCTTCTTGCCGGATTGTTGCTAATGCCCTTGTTGTTTCTGCTTCAGGTATGGTATGTAAATACCAAAATCCTCCATGACTGAAATCGGGATCGAGATCGGGTGGATGTGTCCAAGAAGCGAAGTTGACGATGGCGTCGCTGTCGGCGGTTCCTTGGTCAGGAACGAAGTCAAGAACGAAGACGTTACTTTTCAAGACTGCCTTGCCGATGTAGAGATCGCCTTTTCCGTGGAATAACTTGAACTCCTGAGTGGTGCTGTCTGCTTCGAGATGAATGCCCTTCGCCATCAGTTGACTGATGCTGAGTAAGTTGTAGCCGAGTCCTTCTGCAATCAAAACTTTTGACATTTGTAGAATGACGTTAGTTTCTCGAGACTGAAGTTGTACGATCCCTTGGCGTCATGTGTGCAGGTTCTGGTTGTTGGCGACGGTGATTACAACTTCGCGCTGAAGTTGATGTTCTTGTTGAACGAAGCGACCCGAGGAGCACATGTGCTATCCGCAGCAGCTGTCCAAGAACCAAGTGTCTTTCCCGGACGGCTCGCTCTGGGCGATGGCTGCATACGTCGGGCTGGGCTCCAGTGATTCGCGGCGAGGAGTGCGCTCGTCGAGTTGTTCTTCTGGTGAGTAGAACGGTGGTGATCCGGTGATGCAGGAGACTGTCGTTCTTGTCATACAGCCTACGATGTTTCTTGTGCCTTGCGCAGGTGTTGTCGTTGATGAAGTTGAAGACTGTACTTGATTGGTGGGATGCGCCTGCGTAGAAGCTACTTGACTGCTTGAGGGCCGAAGTTGACGTTGCGGCGACGTCGACTGCTGCTGATTCGGGCAGTGTGTGCGAAGATGTCCGGAGGTCTTGCAGAGGTGACAGAACGATGGGATGTATTGTTGTATCTGATGGTTGTTTTGTCGATTGTTGTTGTTGTTGTAGCGTCGTTGAGTGTGAAACGCGAATTCTGGTGCTGACGCTTTCTTGTTGTGTCGTTCTTCGTGTAGATCCATATCCTGCTGTTCGGAGATTTTCCCGTGAGCTCGAAGGAGTGCTCGAGTGGAGCGCCAATGAGGACCGAGGCCAGCGATGATGACTGTTACGAAGGCTTCTTCGGATATTGATCCTCCGCATCGAAGGATTCTGTCGCGCAGTCTACGACAGCGGCTGATATACGCCATTCCCTTTTCGCCGGGTTTCATTTCCACTGTTGTCAGTTGTGCCATGAGACGACTTTGGTTAACACTGCCTGTTGCTTGATACATGTTCTTCAGATCGTCGTATGCCAGCTCAGCGGAGTTGCCGTATCCTCGATAAGACCGAATGTTCTGCTGCTCGTTTGGCGTTATGTTTCGAAGAAGAATTGCGTACGCCATCAGCGACTGATATGTATACTGCTGCTTGTCGTATTGTGTCCCATGCGCTGGGTATGGCAGGGATCCGTCGAAGAATCCAAGTATTTGCGCGCCCTCCATCATAAGCTCGAACTCGAATGACCAGGTATAGAAGTCTTTTCCATCGAAGGGTGTTGATGTCTGCAGTTTTAAAACATGTGCGAATTGTGATTGAACCTGAAGCGCGTCCAATGTCTTCTCTTGTCCAGGTGAAGATTGTTGGTGTGGTGCAAAGCTGATGGAGCCATGTTGAGGTTCGTACGGAGCAGAGGTGGGCTGCTGTTGATTTCCGCGCGCATAGGATGAACCGTCGAGGCTCATCGGAGTAGCTCTGTTGTTGTTGTCGCTGTTGTTTGATTGCGCAGGAGCTGCTTGCTGGTGTTGCTCGTAGAAGGACATGAAGGAGAAGAACTTCTCCATCATGTTTGGATCGAAGCCTGCTGCTTGATTCCCAGGAGTTTCGGTCGACTCCGCAGTTGGTCTTGTTGCTGTGCCTTCCTCTGTTTGTAGGCCAGAGGCTGGAGGTGGAGTAGGAGTGGTGCCGAGAGATCCGTTGGAGGAGCTCCTCTCTTTCTGTGTTGCCATGTCTTGCGTTGTCGTAGGTATTTGAGAAATCGATCTTGCCTTGTTTGCTCTCATACCATGTTGGGCTGAGAAAAAGCCCTTAGGATCTTTCAAGGCTAAGATCTAGCTGAGGTAGGAATGTTGTAGTTTGCGGAAGCGTTTAATAAAGATGTACTTGAACCACTTTGCACTAGTATGTGAGAACAAGATAAGTTGATAATAGAAGAGAGATACAAGGCTTTTATATGATTACAAAGGAATACGAAAGGTTCTTGTTTCTGCTGTTGCGGTTCGATACAGTGACGACTCAGGTAACTGCTCAGTATCGAGTCAGTTATGTGTCCTTGCTGTCGCACTGTATTTTTCGTCGAGTCAAAGGTCAGCGACCTTTGACCTTCGCGCAACCTCCAGCGGTTGCTTTTGTTGACTCGTGTTGCTTCACTGTAGTCTGCTTCGTTTCGTGTCGATACTTCGATACTTCAGAAGCGTTTAAGTTACTTGTTTCCAACATCCATTGCATCCAATATACCGGTAACGGTTATCACACATAATCTAGGTATGGCACCTAAATCAGAGCCCATTAAATGCTTGTACGGTATATACAATTTACCAATCTTCTATGACAATCCCACCAGAAAGCTACACTGATTGAATTGTTTTTGTTGGAACCTGTGACTCATCATTCTTGAAATGCATGCAGCAGAAACCCACTTGGTCCAGAATGATGAGCAACGATGAGCCCCATGACGACCAATCCGAGCCGTCCGTGCGTGGAGTGCAATGATTGCAACCCCTTTTCCACAAATGCCATGATAATTCCAGTGAGGGCGAGGATGACAGCCAACAGAACAAGCCACCTGTGCAGCCGAAAGGCGAATGGCTTGCTCACCCACCGCTTCCTTGAGACTACCCTCCCTTCTGCTCCTGACCCCCCTGCACCTGAGGCCCCTGTTGCACTGGCTACGCCTATCCCCCTCCGTCCCCCCTCTTCCCCGGTTTCTTCTCCTGCTGTTGCCCCGCTTGCCACCGCTGGTGGCCAGGCAAGGGAGGCAGAAGCAACAGCCGGCGCAGCTACTGCCATCAATTTCTGAGGCGTCTCAGAAACAGGCGCACCTTCTGTCGCTAAGCAGATGGGAAGCTTGCCTTCGCCCTCTGCTGCTCCTGCTGTTGCCCCGCTTGATGCCGCCGCTGGTGGCCTGGCAAGGGAGGCAGAAGCGACAGCCGGCGCAAATACTGCTGCCAAGCGGCCGGGAGGCTTGCCTTCGCCCTCTGCTGCTTCTGCCCCACTGTGCCTCCCGCCAAGCTTTGGTTTCTCCCCCAACCCCCCTGCTGCCCCCGTGGCTGTAGCTTCTGCAGAGCTGTTGCTAGCAGCGATGTTTTGAGATGTCTCAAAAGTCGCTGCAGCAGGGCTGTCGCTTGCAGCGGTGTTACTTGCCACGCCAGGGGTGGTAGCAAGCATGAACAAGGGCTTATCCGCTAGAAAGAGCCTCGATATAAGGATGGCGGAAGGCATGAGCACGCCAAAGGCCGGTGCGAGCAGCCATGCATGGATGGTGTAGAGCGTGGCGTTCCCACTGCTCGACTCGCCCACCTCTGATGCTCCTATGAAGAAGTTGACTCTAGCGGAGCCTCTGATAACGATGGGGGAGGGAGAGAGGGGGGAAGGGAGGGAGGGAGGGAGGGAGGGAGGGAGGGAGGGAGGGAGGGAGGGAGGGAGGGATGGAGGGAGGGAGGGAGGGAGGGAGGGAGGGAGGGAGGGACGGAGGGAGGGAGGGAGGGAGGGAGGGAGGGAGGGAGGGAGGGAGGGAGGGAGGGAGGGAGGGAGGGAGGGAGGGAGGGAGGGAGGCATGATCACGCCAAAGGCCAGTGCGAGCAGCCATGCATGGATGGTGTAGATTGTGGCGTTCCCACTGCTCGACTCGCCTACCTCTGATGCTTCTATGAAGAAGTTGACTCTAGCAGAGCCTCTGATAACGGGGATGGGGGAGGGAGGGAGGGAGGGAGGGAGGGAGGGGTGTGAGTGAGTAATTACGACACCATGGGAATACGACATGGGAATGAGGCATGTGAATACGGCTTGGGAATGATGCATAAGCAATTTTGCAGGCGACTCACGAATTCGGCCCGCGGGTCAACTAACCGCTGTGAGTTATCCGTTTTGAGATTTCTCAAAAGCGGATTCAACATGGGCGTGAGACCGGGGAATGGACACATGATGCATGGGCAGCTTAGAAGCAGCTCTCAAGGCGACTCACGCATTGGGCCCGTGGTCCGCTAACCACTGCGAGTTATCCCGGGAGTAAGCCCAAAGGACGGTGCTGCTGCTGCCGCTGCCGCCGCCGCCGCCGCCATTGCTGCTCCTGCTCCTGCTGCTGCTGGTGCTGCCGTTGCCGCCGCCGCCGCTGCTGCTGCTGCTGCTCCCGCTCCTGCTGCTGCTGCCAGTGGCACCACCGCCATCACTCCCATCAAAACTCATGGGGAACTCTCCATCCCCCATGGACCGCTCAAACTTTTGAGTCGACTCAAACGTCAGCCCACTGCTTCTGCTGCTGCTGCCAGTGGCACCACTGCCATCACTACCACCAAAACTCATGGGGAAATCTCCATCCCGCATGGACCGCTTTTGAGAATTCTCAAAAGTGCTGCCAGTGGCACCACCGTCATCACTACCACCCGAACTCATGGGGAACTCTCCATCCCGCATGGACCGCTCAAACTTGATTGTCGTCCTCCCATTCGCCGATTCCACGGCCGTGTTGGTAACCGCAAACGAGCCAGTGGGCGTAACATCACTGACAACATACCCACTCATGTGGTATGCTCCCACTGCTGCCCCAGGGGAAAGGGTTCCTGGGGGTAGGTTGCCGATGGCTGCATCAGCGGGATACATTCGACCATTGGCTGACCAGCCTAGAGACACCCACCCGCTCGTTGCTGCCTCTGCTGCCAGTGCAATGGTGCTGCTGCTGCTGGTCTTTCAGTGTAGGATGAAGCTGAGGGGATGGGGGGAGGGTAGGGAAGGGAAGTATGCGTGATTGGGTACCACCCTAGCGACACACCCACCGGCTTGGTGCTGCCTCTGCTGCCAGAGCTATGCTGCTGCCGCTGCTGCTGGTCTTCCAGTGCAGGATGAATCTGAGGGAATGAGGGGAGAGAGGATGGGAGAGCACGTGTGATTGAGAACCACCCTAGGGACACACCCAATGCTGCTGCTGCTGCTGCTGCTGCTGCTGCTGCTGGCGCTGGTCTTCCAGTGCAGGATGAATCTGAGGGAATGAGGAATGGGGACGAAGGGGGAGAATGACTGAAATGGCGTCTGTTGGCTCAATGCCCCATGCTCCATGCCCCATGCTCATGCCCCATGCTCTTAACCCATTCCGTATTCCCCATGATCAATGCCCCATTCTGTATGCCCCATGCTCTATGCCCCATGCTTTATGCCCCATGCTTTATGCCCCATGCTCAATGCCCCATGCTCAATGCCCCATGCTCAATGCCCCATGCTCCTAACCCCATGCTCCTAACCCCATGCTCCTAACCCCATGCTCCTAACCCCATGCTCCTAACCCCATGCTCCTAACCCCATGCTCCACGCCCTATGCTCCATGCTCCAAGCCCCGTGCTCCATGCCCAAAGCCTCGTGCTCCATGCACCATGCATCCTTCCTCCCCCCCATGCCACATCACCCTGACTCAAGAGCTGCACTCGCTCCACACGGCCCTGAGCACTCACTTGCCGCCACTGAGTTGACTTTTGAGTCGACTCAAAAGGTGACTTTTGACCTTTGAGTCGACTCAAAAGTCACCCTGACTCAAGAGCTGCACTCACTCCACATGGCCCTGGGCACTCACTTGTCGTCACTGAGCTGCACCATGCAATCATATCCGGACAGAGACGACGCCGTGCACGCACTGTTGCTGTTGCTGCTGCTGCTGCTGCTGCTGCTGCTGCTGCCGCTGTTTGATGCTGTTGCTGACGTGGAAGCCAGTGATTGGCTGTTCGTGCTATGTGGTGATGAAGAGGTGTTGCCAGCAGCAGCAGTGGAGCAGGGAAAATCCACCTTCAGTGCTCCGCTGAGCACATGTGACAATAACGGGGGTGACAATAAGGGAGAGGCATGGAGTGAGTGATGGGTGGCCAAGTGGAGGGAGGGAGGGTGCGAGCGAGTGGAGCCGTTTGAAACATTGTTGAGGTGAAAAGGTGGGAAGGTTGAAAGGTGGGAAGGTGGGAAGGTGGAAAGGTGGGAAGGTTGAAAGGTGGGAAGGTTGAAACGTTGTTGTGGTCATGTCGGTGTAACCGTGTGGTAACCAGCAGATGTGTACCAATGTTTGGACTCACTCGTTATTTTTGTGGTAGTCCAGTGCCTGCGTGCCAGATCCCGAAAACGCCCACACGAGGGTGTTTACCCCAGAAAATCTCACAAGGACTATTCCCCCACCCCCTTCCGTTCGGGTGAACTTCACAATAGTCGCTCCATTACTAGTGGACTCAGTACTCACTTCAGTGACCGAAAAGTTTCTGGTAGCTGTAACATCCGATATCCGGTAACCAGTCATGGAGTACTCAGCGACCTTCCTTCCTGGAAGGTTCCCGATGACAGCATCAGCGGGCACCATCCGACCGTCCGTTGACCAGCCTATGGAGATCCAACCGCTCTCAGCCCCGCTGCCCTGCTGTGCCTCTAACGCCAGGCGCAGCTTCGCCCTTCCCCCTTTACTAGCACTGTTGTTAATGTCACTGCTGCCGCTGGGGGTGTTGCTGCTGCTGCTGCTGCTGCTGCTGGTGCGGTTGGTGGTGATTGAGGTGCCATTAACGAGCGTCCAGTGGAGAAGGAACCCTTTCTTTATAGTCACAGAGTGCTCGTATCCCTTGAGAGACGAAGCCTTGCATGATGCAAATGGTCCAGAGGAGGATCCACCTCCTCTTTCTCCTCTTTCAACTCTTCCCCCATGATGCTGGGTGGTCGTGCTGCTGTTGGTGGTGCTGTTGGTGGTGCTGGCACTCGGGAAACGGAAACAGAGTTGTGGGGTCGGGGAAACTGAGCGTTGACCATCAACCCTGCTGATAGTACTGTTAAGGGTTGAGCGGAACCGAAATTCGGGGACAAGTTGAGCGGCCAGAACAGATCACTGACCTGGGAAGTGTTTCGTCACAAGAAATCAGATTTCGCAAGAGGATTTCGCCACCTACCAGCAAGAGGATTTCGCCACCTACCAGCAAGAGGATTTCGCCACCTACCAGTTACCCGAGAGGTCGACGGAGCTGGTGAATCCCGTGAGCGAAGAGCTCTGGCACGACGCCGCCGCCCATGCTACGCCCCAAGATGAAAGCACAGTTAGAACGAAGAAAGAAACAGGGATGAATTTGAGGAGTCGCCGCAGCATCACCATCGCGGCGAGGCTGGAAAATTGCATTCGATCTAACCAAACAATGCAACCGTAACGCTCGGTTCTGACAAAGCCGTGCAAGAGTGTGAGGCTTCAAAAGAGAGGTGGAATTCGGCAAGAGGAATTAGGCTCGGGGAAATTGCTCGTGTGGACTTGCTGAATATTATATTTCGTGACTCGGGGTACGGAGGGGCTGACTTGGGTTGGGGGGTGCTTTTGATCGGTGTCCTTCATTCCAAGATGGTGTCGCCGACGCTTGCCCGCTGCGGTGGATTTCAATCTGGCAGCGCGAAAAACGGAGAGGGTCTTTCAGATCAGGCCTATGCGCTGGAAAGATCAGCGCATGCAGATGTTTCTCTTCTTATGTATGCGGCTACATGATCTGCTGAAAACTTCCCTGCAAGTGACTGTCATTGGTGCTCAGGCTACATCGTGGTATATGTTGAGAAAAGGTGTTCTACAACCAGTAATATAGGGACGGGTGACGTCAGCACTTGCCGCCCCACGGTTCGTGGGGCCAAATAGAAAAACCCGCGGAATCCCGCAAAAAATGTCAGAATGTTATAGTGCTTACATTTGTGTAGGCTATAGTGGGGTAGCCCATAAGGAGTACAACTCAATTAGAATTAGTACTTGTACCCAACTGTTTCATAGTTCATTCTTCTGACATGGTTTCAGAGCAAGTCCTAGTTAGGACCGGTTTTTTTTTTTCCTTGGGCCCACCACTGCGCTGCCCCACTAGCCGCCCCTAGCGACCCTCGCGTCGCCCCTAGACCGGCCCGTCGCCCCTAGCCCGGCCCGTCGCCCCTAGCCCGGCCCGTCGCCCCTAGGCCCGTCGTCCCGACCCGTCGCCCCTAGGCCCGTCGCCCCTAGACCGGTCCGTAGGCCCGTCGCCCGACCCCCGGCCCGTCGCCCCTCGGCCCGTCGCCCCTAGGCCAGTCGCCCCTAGGCCGGCCCGTCGCCCCTAGTCCGGCCCGTCGCCCCTAGCCCACGCGCCCCGGCCCGTCGCCCGACACACCTACGCCCGCGACTGACGCCCCTACGCCCCGGCCCGTCGCCCGACGCCCCTAGGCCCGCGACCGTCGCCCCTAGCCCCGGCCCGTCGCCCGACTTCCCTACGCCCCGGCCCGTCGCCAGTCGCCCCTAGGCCCGTCGCCCCTAGGCCGGCCCGTCGCCCCTAGCCCGGCCCGTAGACCCGTCGGCCCTAGCCCGGCCCGTCGCCCCTAGCCCACGCGCCCCGGCCCGTCGCCCGACGCCCCTACGCCCGCGACTGCCGCCCCTACGCCCCGGCCCGTCGCCCGACGCCCCTAGGCCCGCGCCCGTCGCCCCTAGCCCCGGCCCGTCGCCAGTCGCCCCTAGGCCCGCGCCCCTCAGCCCGTCGCCCCTAGGCCGGCCCGTCGCCCCTAGCCCGGCCCGTCGCCCCTAGCCCGGCCCGTAGGCCCGTCGCCCCGCGCCCCGGCCCGTCGCCCGACGCCCTTATGCACGCGCCTGACGCCCCTACGCCCCGGCCCGTCGCCCCTCGGCCCGCGCCCGCCGCCCCTAGCCCCGGCCCGTCGCTTGACTCCCCTAGGCCCCGACCCGACGCCCCTAGGCCCGACTCCCCTAGGCCTACCAGGATTTGATGGTCACTACCACCACTCCTGGGGGTCAGCGTGTGTCAATCTGCACATGTACACGGACGGGTCGTCACCTGGCCACGTTCACTCGTCGGCCAGGGTCAAGTCTGTACACATTGGCTACCGAGCCTCCTCAGGTAGCACCCCCTTGCTCGTGTCGCCTCCTGTCGCACCAGACTCTCCTCAAGCACCACCGCCTTGGACACCCCTCCCTGCCATGCCTGCGTGGCATCCACTCCCGCCTCCTTGTCTCTGGTCTTCCCAGGTCTCTGCCTCCCCTCCCGCCCTCGCCGGCCCCGCCCTGCCTTCCTTGCATCGAGGGGCGGCAGCGCGCCGCTCCTCACTCCTCCTCGTTTCCCCCGACGACTGCTCCCCTGCAGACTCTCCACATGGATGTGTGGGGCCCAGCCCGCGTCAGTGGACAGGGCCGCGAGCGCTACTTTCGGCTGGTAGTTGACGACTACACGCGGTACACCACGATCTTCCCCTTGCGCAGCAAGGGTCAGGTCGTTGATGTCTTGATCCCTTGGATCCGTGCCGTCCGTCTCGAGCTCTGCGAGCGGTTCCGTGCAGACCTTCCTATCCTGCGTCTGCACTCTAACAGAGGTGGTGAGTTCTCCTCCGACCTCTTGCGGGAATTTTGTCGTGGGGAGGGCATTCTCCAGTCGTTCACGCTTCCGGACTCCCCTCAGCAAAATGGGATTGCTGAGCGCCGCATTGGCTTAGTCATGGAGGTGGCTCGTACCTCCATGATCCATGCGGCTGCTCCCCATTTTCTATGGCCGTTTGCGGCCCGGTACGCTGCGCATCAGCTCAACCTCTGGCCCCGTGTCTCCTTGCCGGAGACCTCGCCTACACTGCGTTGGACGAGGAAGTTTGGCGATGCGTCGGTGTTCCGGGTCTGGGGTTATTTTGCCTTTGTTCGCGATACGTCCGCGGACAAGCTCTCCGCCCGTGCTATCCCATGCATCTTCCTTGGCTTTCCCCCTGACGCGCCTGGCTGGCAGTTTTACCACCCCACCTCGCGCCGTGTCTTCCCCTCTCAGGACGTCACTTTTGACGAGTCGGTTCCCTTTTACCGTCTCTTCCCCTACCGCTCTGCCCTCCCCCGCCCCCGCCGCTCTTCCTTGCTCCTGGTCCCCCTCCGGTAGACCCCTTCCCGCCCCAGGGTCTTGCTCCCTCAGGTGTGTCTCAGGTAGACCCTCTCCCTGGTACTGTGCCTGTTGAGGTAGCTGGTGACTCAGGTGCTGCTCGAGGTGCTGCGTCTGGGGATGCGGAGCCTGGGGGTGCAGAGCCAGGGGGTGTTGAGCCTGGGGGTGTTGAGCGTGGGGGTGCTGAGTCTAAGGGTGCCGGGTCTGGGGGTGGTGAGCCTGGGGGTGCGGAGCCTGGGGGTTTGGAGCCTGGGGGTGCTGAGCCTGACGGTGTTGAGCCTGGGGGTGCTGAGTCTAAGGGTGCGGAATCTGGGGGTGCTGAGTCTCGGGGTGCTGCGTCGTCTGGAGGTCCGACTGGTGCTTCGCCTCGACCGTCTCCGCGACCGGAGCCTCTCTCCCCGCAGCAGCTTCGTGAGTGGCTTGTTCGGCGCGCACGCCTTTGGAGTGGAGCTGCCGGAGCTGGAGCCACTGGAGACACTAGAGCTGGAGGTGCTGGAGTTACTGCTGGAGCTAGTGGTACTGGAGGTACTGTGGCTGCTGGTCCTGAAGGTGCTCGTACCAGTGGTACTGGAGCTGCCGGGACTGGTGGTGTTGGAGGCGCTGGAGCTGGAGACCCTACGGAGCCTGGAGCTGCTGGGGCTGGTGGCACTGGAGCTGGAGGCACTGGCGCTGGAGTTGGAGGAGCTGGAGCTGGAGGCACTGGCGCGGGAGGCGCTGGAGCTGCAGGAGCTGGAGCTGGAGGCACTGGCGCGGGAGGCGCTGGAGCTGGAGGAGCTGCAGCTGTTGACCCTAGAGCTGGGGGTGCTTGAGCTGGGGGTGCTAGAGCTGGGGGTGCTGGTGGTACTGGTACTGGAGGCACTGTGCGGCTGCTTCAGCAGGTTCTTGGTGTCCCGTCTTCTACTCGCCTTCCTCCTCCCTTGTTATGTCCACCACCTGACCAGTCGCAGCTTCCGTTGCAGCCAGCCTCCCCACTGCCTGCTCCTTCTCCTTACACTGAGCAGTCCGGCGGACTTACAAAGCGTCGTGAGCCTGCGTCTTGTCCTGTCTCGCGTGTTCACACTGCTCGTCGTGTTCCTCGTTCGCGTCCTCCTCCTGTCCCTGGCACGCACGCTATGGCACTTCGTCCTTCCTCTGTTCCACTACGTGTTCCTCTTCCGCCTCCTCCTGAGTCCTCTCTTCCTGCTGTCCCTGACCCTGGGTCTGACCTTGTGCGTGCTGCCAGTCCCACTGTCTCTCGTCTCCTCGCTACTGTTGTCACTGACCCTTGTTTTGAGTCCACTGCTGCGTCTGCCCTCGTTGTTGAGCTGCTTGACTTTGCTGCTGCCTGTCATCTAGACTACGTCACTGTTCTTGTGGCTGAGTCTGAGTCTGCCAGTCCTCCGTCCGTCGGGGGTGAGTGTGCTCTTGGCACGGACGTCCTTGAGGACAGGCAGGAGGACTTTGAGTGTCTTGCAGCTGCTGTACCTCATTTCGCTTCCATGCTGCATGCCCCTGAGGGAGACCCGGATGCACCAGACATCCCGACCCCCCGCTCTTACGCAGAGGCGATAGAGGGTCCTTACTCCTCTCAGTGGCAAGCAGCCATGGATGCCGAGATGGCATCCTGGAAATCCACAGGCACCTACGTCGACGCAGTTCCCCCGTCTCGGGCGAACATAGTCGATGGCATGTGGATTTTCAGGGTGAAGCAGCCGCCGGGTTCTCCGCTTGCCTTCAAGGCGCGTTACGTTGCTCGAGGCTTCAATCAGCGACAGGGGGTTGACTACTTCCAGACCTTCTCCCCCACCCCAAAGATGACCACTCTTCGGGTGTTGCTGCACGTCGCTGCTCAGCGAGACTAC